CCTGCAGAGTTTTGAGTTTTGTGATTCAGTGCATGCAAGAGGCGAACAAAATAGCCATTGGATGAGAAGTTAGTCGAATTTCAGATGTCTTGTTCTGTGGATCCACTTTTGAAAGATTTAGATGAGAAGAAAGAGAGTTTCCGGCGAAACGTTGTCTCTCTAGCGGCGGAGTTGAAGCAAGTGAGAGGACGTTTGGTTTCTCAAGAACAATCTTTTCTCAAAGAAACCATAACAAGAAAAGTAAGTCTTTTGTTTTGTTTTGTATGAATCATTTGATTATTCTAATTGATTCTTCCTTTATGTGGTGGGGTCAAAATCTTCTTTGCTTGCTGGATTTTTGAGCTTTTAAAAAAGAGCTGAATCAGATAGAAATGAATTTGGCTTTTTTTTTCTTCTTTGTTCAGGAAGCAGAGAAAAGGGGAAAGAGCATGGAAATGGAGATTTGTAAATTGCAGAAGAGATTGGAAGAAAGGAATTGTCAGCTTGAAGCTTCTGCATCTGCTGCTGAAAAGGTTTGAATCCTCACAAACCAATTTTGTGCTATAGTATGTTACTGAAAGTTGAAAGATTTCATTTTTATGGTCTCTGTGTTGATTTCTTGAAACTTGATCAGCCAAAGGAAATTCTTTTAGTGGTTCTAGAATCTTAGCTAGAGGGTTGAATAGGGAATAGAATAAATCTGAAATGGGCAGTGGAATTGTGTTGAAAGCTGTTAAATTTCAGTTATTGACTAAATAAGGCTCACACAATGCAATTCCAACACCATCAAGCACTCCATGACTTCTCTTTGGATGTTTGTTTGCTAATTGTTGAGGTCTGTATCGCCGTTTACTTCAACTTTTGGTTTGGAAAAGTGGAAACATAAAATGGTTTAGAGATCTGAGGCAACAGAAGCTGTGTTTCGTTGTGGTCTTAGTCGTTTAGCGAATGCTTGCTGATTTTGGTAATCTTGTTTTTGAGAAACCAGTTTATCAAAGAGTTGGAGGAATTCAGATCACAGCTCGATGCGACAAAGCAAACAGCAGAAGCAAGTGCTGATTCTGCTCAATTTACACAAATCCAATGCTCGATGCTAAAGAAACAACTTGACGACAAAACACGTTCTCTCAGAGAACACGAAGACCGTGTGACTCAGCTCGGGCATCAGCTTGATAATCTACAGAGAGATTTGAGCCTTAGAGAGTGCTCAGAAAAGCAGCTTAGAGAGGAAGTTACGAGAATTGAGCGCGAGATAACAGACGCCATTGCAAAAGCCGGGATAGGTAGCACGGACAGCGCGCTCCAGAAGCTTCTAGACGATGTCTGTCCAGTGAAATTAGAGAGAATGAATAGGCTAGTTGAAGTGAAAGACGAAGAGATTACAAAACTAAAAGATGAGATTAGGTTAATGTCAGGTCACTGGAAACACAAGACTAAAGAACTCGAATCTCAGGTGAATCCATCTTTGTCCTCTTACTTTGTATTTATTTGTAAATTCAATCTTTTGAACATTTAGACATAAAAAGTCTCACTGAATGTTTTTGATGATAATAAAAACAGCTGGAGAAGCAGAGACGAACTGATCAAGATTTGAAGAAGAAGGTACTCAAACTTGAGTTCTGTCTACAAGAAGCTCGAAGCCAGACAAGAAAGCTGCAAAGGGTAAGTAAATATAAGTACATAATTCGTCGTGATGCTTCTTGTTTTGGATCGAAATGGTTTCTTATATAACATTCTTTTTTCTTGTGTGATTAATGGAATACAGAAAGGGGAAAG